GAAGAAGAAGAAGAAGAAGAAGAAGAAGAAGAAGAAGAAGAAGTATAATTCTGAAAGACAACCTGTTTGTGTAATACTAATTCAGCAGGATTTTTACAGAAAAACAATAGCTCAGCGTACATATAAATTGCTGGGTTTAGCAACAATCCCTTTAGGCTAGTGTTAATTATTTGAGAGTGAAGCCCAGAGGCTAGAGTGAGCCAACAAGGCAGAAATTTGACAAATGGTAAATGGTAGCAACGTGTTCCACAAAACAATAAGAATTGGTTGTGATGATGATGCAAAACTGAAAAGCTGTTTGATATGAAATGAAATTATTCAAAGTTAATGAAGAAGAGAGAGTCTTCCAGACTGGGAGCATCATAACATACATATAAAATAACACATTGTAGAATCTGGGCATGAACATTTGGTCTTTTTTTTTACTCCTGAATGCTCTAGACTGCTAATTAAAGTAAACAGTGTTTGGACATTGCATTAAAATTATTGATGCAGCTTGGAACTGTTCAGGCATTTGGTATGACTTTTTAAAAATGCTGCATTAAATTTACTTATACAACAACTTTTTGCAGGATCTTGTTCTCCAATTTATGCCTTCCCCTTGATTTTTCTGATAAAATAATAAAATAATGTGTAATAAGACTCACACAAAAAAGAAGCAATTACTGTCGTCACTAGGTATTTCCCTCAAGCCTATCTATTACTCTGTCTCTCCCGCAGCAGGAGTCAAGTGAATGAAAGTGCTTTAAACTATGTATTTGTGAATATATTTGAAACTTAGCAAACTTTTTGCCAGGCAAGATTCCAGAGTTTAGAAAGAGTAAGATTTCTATTCTTGATATCAAATATTTTTTCACAACATAAGATTTCCAGCTGTATATTCATTTTAAAATATATCACAATATTAAAAACAAAATATATCACAATATTAATTTAATATCACAATATTAAAAAGTTAATATATGTTTTGATTTCATTTATAAAGTCTTTTAGTAAGCAGCTTCTACAATATGTATGTAAGTTTCATTTGGTATACCAAATATAACACAAAATTTCTATCTTTAGCTGGGCTATATAATCATATTGTGCCATATGGCAACACTGTTTCAACTTCACTGGTTTCAGGGGCTTTTTTAGGTATAATTGAATTTGTTGATTTGCCTACCCATATCTTGACATCATCGACCTGTTCTAAAAACACCTCATGCTGACATTCATTGAATGGCTATTTGGGCAACTATTTTCTCTAAAACAGGCCTCTTAACTTATTAGAGAATTTGGAACTCTAATATATCTGGTGTCAGCTTTGGAAGTCATATTGAGACCAGATGCTCCCACGCTGACACATTTGCGCCTGGGAAAGTGCGAGGGGTGAATTTCTTGGAATGTACGTAGTTAGACATAAAAACATTCTTTTTCTAATTCAAGGTCATGTTATTTTGCGCATAAGTGAGAGGAAGTCTTAACCTGGGACAGATGGTGATTGGGCCATGTGATGTGATGATGGGTACAGGGGGTGGATTTGTAGTTTTTACTTATTGTAAGGGAGCCTGGAACTTTCAGATTTGGGATTCCCCAGTTGTGCCAGTTAATATCCATATAAAAAGGAACCTTTGAGAAGATGTCTGTCTCGGAGTTATTGGGCGGCGTCGAGGGTTGCTGGTATGCTGACATCTGGAACAGTTCATCTGAGGTATGTCTTAAGAGTTTTCAATACCAGGCAAAAATATCACTGTTACATCAAGCAGTTTAACTTATTATATGCTTTATTAGTGAGTTATATTTTATCTCTCTTCTACTCTAAAGCAGGGATGTCAAACTCTCAGCCCGCGGGCCAGATGCGTCACGTATTAGCCATGCCATGTCCGGTTTAGCATAGGGGGAAAAAGTCCTGATATAGCATGTGATGCCACCATGATGACATGAGTTTGACACCCCTGCTCTAAAGTAGTGTCTCAGACTATTTATGGCAGGTTTCTTTGTTCTATATTTTTGTTTGTTCTGTCACGTTGCTGTTTTCATTTGATTGGAACTTTATATTTGTGCAGCTCTACTTTATTGTACTTGTATTTTTGGCGTTATTGGTTGTATTGATTTTATTGCTTGGCTTTAACTGCATGCATTACACTGTCAATTAATAGGATAGCTCATGATTCCAGTCAATCAAATTTTGTGGTTCAATTGACTTGAGCATATACTGTATATAAAAACACATAAAGCAATTGCAAAAATCACACAGCCTGATTTGGATGTTTGCCCCCAACAATCTCGGTCCTCATTTTACTAACCTCAGAAAGATGGAAGGCTGAGTCAAACTTGTGCCAGTCAGGATTTAACTCCTGGCAGTAGGCAGAGTCAGCCTGTAATACTGCATTTTAACAGAGGTGGTATTCAGCAGGTTCTGACCAGTTCTGGAGAACCGGTAGTGGAAATTTTGAGTAGTTTGGAGAACTGGCATATACCAACTCTGACTGGAGATTTTACAGTATCCTTCACCTGCCACACCCACAGAACCGGTAGTAAAAAAAGTTGAATTCCACCACTGCATTCTAACCACTGTGTCACTACAGCTAATCAATACTGGATATACACCGATCTGGAGCAAGGGTCTACAATAGCAGCAAATAAATTTTAAACAACATAGGACTTAACCAAGAATTCATATTGATTCCAACTCTTATATTTCCATGCATGAAAAGTAATACAAAAAATAACCAGTATATTTTTGAAGGAGCCAGCTTTTGAGTTCATTTTTTGTCCAAAAAGCAGAACAAAAAAGAGAAGAGAATATTCAATACTACACTTTTTAAAACTTACTATTCCAGTTGAATCAGATTGGAATTTTGGAACTAAAGAGGTTGTATTATCAACAACACTGAGTAAGAAATAACTGATTCTAGAATGCCAAAATCAATATTGTATAAAATATCTCTGTATGGACCACACTTCAATGAAAAATGTCTTTCAGCTACTTTTGCATTACATGAGAGTAGAAGGCCTTCAACAGCACATCTATCTGCAACCAATCTACAATATGGGACTGGAGATAGTACACATTACACATATTTCAGTATTCATTATATGCCACAGGACACTCATGATACAAGATTGTTGGCTATCTGAGGAATAAGGAACAGAAAGAACAAGAAGATATTGGGGAACTTTAAATCCCAGTAACATTTTAATGGCCTCTATTTTTAACAGACAATCAATCCAACTTCTAGTTTAATTTATAGAACATGTCTTTTCAAGAATAATGCTGCACCTGTTCCAAGATCTGAAATGAAGCCCTATGAGGTTCTTAATAATGACACAAGAGAATGACAGAAAAGAACTGCTGCAGTCAAACAGCTGCTGAAATTAAGTCCCTGGGACCTTGCATAGATAATAGAAAATTGATCAACTTTGGAAAGCAATGGCAGTGAATTTTTTCAATCCAATGAGTAAAACTGAAATGAAAGATTTATGCTGGAGAAAGCATTCTGCAAATCTCTAATACGATTGCATTAACCAGTACAGCACATCTTCTAATGGAATTTCTCCTCGGTATTTGAAGAAGATAAGTTGTAATGAAGCAAAATGGATACATCACATTTTAAAACTCACAAATTTCTCCTCCAATTTTCAAAATAATACCTTAGAATAGAAAGTTAACATTGTACCATTAGCCTAAAACCACGCTGCTTCCCTTAATATATAATTTGGATTAACTAAATTATTTAAATGTGGTTCTTTGACAATGATGATAACAAAACTGATGTTTTTCAAGGAAAATCTTTCTCCCTTATAAAATAGACTTCAGGTATCTTACAAGTTTAACCTATTTTACAGGGTTTTCCTACATATGCTACTTTTTCTTTAATACCAAAACTCCTTCACTTCAAAAGGGTTTTGCTTATAATTGAAACAGAGATCTAACCAGTCATAGCTAACTTAGTCATCAAAAGCACAGACACTTAGAATAACCCTACTTGATGTAAACTGGAATGGAAATTATAGAAATGTTTGAGAACAGAGCTCAAAATGAATCAGTGATGAATTCTAGGTAAATCAAAGCAACAGGACACAAGACAGAGTATTTGATTTATTGTTCACAAGAAGTCTTCATATAGCACTTGTCCTGGAAAAATGGAATCCCATATTCACATTATAAAATATGTTAACTACAAATAACATATATACTGCATATGATTATGAATTCTTATAATTTTGGTATAGTTAGTACCATGATTAAATGTTTTATCTTGGAATAAAACAGATGTGTATTTTGATTCATCTCAAATCTCTACAAACTTATCAGCCCTTCAAGTCAACCTCTCAAAATTCTGTTATTATACCCTACAACAATAAAATAGTATTTCTGTAATCCTTGTGCTGTCTGCTTCCTGATTTAGCTGGCCTTGAAGGGCTGACAGGTTTATAAGATTTGAGACTAACTAACTCGAGACAGAGTAATTTTGAGTTTCTTTCTCACATCTTCTTCTTCCCCAGGATTGCCTCTTCTTTTTCCTTAATTATTCTTGCATGTCTTCTTCAATACATTAATAGTATTGGTAGTTTTCACTACCCATTATGGAAGTAGGGGTGGGGGCCAAGGTTCTCCAGCTAGAGCAGTTATGTAGTTCCTTGTGCCTAATGCTGCAACTCTGTTAATTTATGGAAAAAGAAGGAGAAAGAAACAATGAATTGGAACCACCATGAAGGTACCTTTGTTCCATATTAGCAGGCTTGAAACCCTGCATTCCCATTGGTCCGTTTTAACCGCTACCTGATTGGTCAGCCTGGGCGGTTATGATTGGCTCGCTAAGAGTCTGCCACGATTGGTTAAAACCAAGCGCGGGAGACTCAAAGCGATGTCATTGGCCGCCAAGCCTCGGCTAGCTCTATAAAAGAGCCGCCGCGGCTGCTACCTTCCCTGAGTCTGACCTAGCCTATTAATAAAGAGCTGTTGTTACTGAACCCGAGTCTCTCGTCTCTGAAATCCGTCCTTCCGAACATAACAACCTTGATACTGTCTGGCAATCAGTAATCAGTTGTTTGCACGGCTTAATTCTTATTCCAATAAAGATTTTTCATAAGTCAATCTTATCCACGTGGATACGATTTCTGCCAGATTTATCCTTGGAGCCAGGATTTAGATATAGTCCTGAATTGGAAACGTTGGGAGGGGGAATCTTGTTTATAACAATAAGCACTATTAAAAATAATTATTCCTTTCCTTAGTTTTAGAAACAGATTGGTTGGTCTTTGAGCTCTAGTCTAAAATAATTTCTATAAAAGCTTGGGGGGGAGACATGGGGTTGGTAACCCGGGTTCGAGACCCAAACGCCAAACAATGGGGTGAGCCCCCGTTACTTGCCCCAGCTCCTGCTCATATAGCAGTTCAAAAGCATGCAAATGCAAGTAGATAAATATGTATCACTTTGGTGGGAAGGTAGCAGTGTTTTGTATGCCTTGACATGCTGGCCATATGACCATGGAAATGTCTTCCAACAATGCTATGAAACGCAGATAAGCACCAAGTCCTAGAATCGGACATTACTGGACAATGGAAACCTTTACCTGCACTTACATAAAAGCTTTGTAAATCCATAGAAGGGAGATTGTGAGGCACTATATGCTGCTCGCAAAAAATAGTGAACAGCAGAGAAAATTGGAAATACCATAGTCATCACCAAACAGAACCCTTAGACAATATACAAATCACATTATCAGAACCCTCGTGTATTACTCAGTTACCCATGACAGTAAGGCAGCACATAAATAGCTACAGTATTTTTAATTTTATAACTATTCATAAGGAAGAATATTCCCCTCATATTTAAGACATATTGCCTATGAGTCAGTAAACTTTATTAATATTAAAACCAAACAACTTGATTCTCTATAAAACTCCCCAGGCCTCATTTAAAACCATCCAAATTAGCAGCCACTTTCATTATTTGGAGCTAATTTTATAATTTAACTATATGATATATTTAAAAGGGCAGTTTGGACTTGTTTAAGGCACTAGGCCTGAATCCAGATTATTAATTCCAGTCCTGCTTTAGGCATGGGTGACTTTTGGCTAGTCATAACAAGCCAGTTGGTCAATTTCTGTCACAGTGGTAGTGGTGGTGGAGGAGGAGGAGGAGGAGGAGGGTGTCACCTGATGATAAGCAATAAGGGCTGGCCAATTTCAGATTAGTAACCATGTTTGGTTACCTAAACAGTTCTTTTCAGGGCCACAAACAATAAAAATGTTAACAAACCACTAGCATCAGCCTTAGTAATTGCAACACGTATGCCACTGGGTATGCATCAGTTAATCTGTTTTCATAGTCATTGTAAGCATGCAAGAAAATTCACAATCCCCATCCAAACAGCACCAAATTGCAAAAAACTTATGCTTTTCACTTAAAAACCACCAGTGTTTATTTAAATATAACAATATTTGCATAGCAGTTAGCATAAAATATCATAAAATCAATGGCTATCCAAAAAATGTCATAAACCATAAAGCATGCAGGACTTTTTCACACAGCTGTATGTACCTCCTTATTTCATTCCTAAACAGTTCCAACTTTGTAGTATTTCCATGCAGAGAAACACTATATGTCATGGTCATTTAGACTGGCCCCTTTTTGCTCTTCTTCTAGTTCTATAATATCGTCTATAATGTCAATCCTCTATCCTCTACAATATTAATATCTTAATATCCTTCTTTTAGCTCTATACTATCCAGAACTGTACAATTATTCCAAATCTGATCTCACCATTAATTTGTATAAAGGCAGTATTTAATCACCCAGTTTCCATTCAAGTCCCTGTGTTTTCAGATCTCATGCGTGGAAACACCAGATTCTTCTGACGTTTTGGTGAAATATCACAAGATTCTAGTACAAATAGTCCTCAACTTACAACAGTTCATTTAGTGACTATTTAAAAGTTACAACAGTGTTGAAAAAAGTGATTTATGACCATTTTTCACACTTACAACCTTTGCAACATCCCTATGGTCACATGATCAAAATTCAGACACTTGATAATTGATTCATATTTATGATGGTTGCAGTGTCCCAGGGTCATATTGATCACATGACCCTGGGACACTGCAACTGTCATAAATATAAGTCAGTTGCCAAGCATCTGAATTTTGTGACTTTCTGACAAGCAAAGACAATAGGGATGCCGGATTCACTTAATAACCATGTCACTGACTTAACAACTGAAGTGATTCACTTAACAACTGTAAAATGGGGCAAAATTCACTTAACAATTATCTCGCTTAATAACAGAAATGTCGGGCTCAATTGTGGTCATAAGTCAAGGACTACCTGTAGTTTTATATGAAATTAAATGAATTTTCTGCAATCTTGCATGAGATGGGGTCAGACCAAAAGAGGGGCACTGGACTATTGCAATCATGTAATCTCCCTGTGAATTTAAAAGCTTGCTGTCCTTTATATTTAAGCTCTGCCTGAACTGTAGAGCTTATACTGCATTAAACAGGCTATTACAAAGCAATAGATACTGAAAGCAGCATTTA